TGCTATATGTGGTTGTTATATTATTTGAGTTGCAATGCAAATAATTATATTTTTTATTAATTTGCGTCGTTTCGACTGATGTTTACTTTGAACCGTTTTATTAGATGGAAGACATGTTTCGGGAGCGGAAACGGGGTCATCCTAGAGAATTGTACCCCGACGAGTCTAGCAGAGATGCCCCCCATCCCTCCTGCCCTCCCTGTCCCTAATTGTGACTGTGGTCGTCCGACCGACGTGTTTCAATCGAGACATCCGGACACAGCGGCTCGTTGCTTCTACACATGCAGTCGTTTTAATGTAAGTAATTGTTTCTGTATGTTTTTTTTCTTCATTTGTATTATTAGGTTATTAATATTTTATTGGAATTTTGTTGTGTAGGCCCATGAGAGATGCTTTTTCTTTCAGTGGATCGATGGTGCAAACAAGTTTGACTCTAGGTACCTCTTTTTCGATGATTGGTGGAGAGGGCGACATCCACGAGAGCACTTCAAGCGGTGGGTTCCACATCCCCCTAACCCCCCTCCAATGACGGCTAAGGAGAAGCACTTAGCCGTAGTTAGACAACTCCTCTGTGCGATTGCGGAGATCGAGCTGCGATAAACCCTGAGAATACGTTGGAGTTTGTGTGTCCAAACAAGCATAAAGTAAGTGCAAAGTGTATGTGTTAAAATGTTGAGCTATATGTGTTCATGTACTAATGTCACCTTATTTAGGTGTTTTCAATGGCGAAGTGTTGTTTCAAGGAGTGGTTGTATGGTCCTAAGAACCAATGGCCGGAAGAACCGCCAAAGGCAAAGCAAAAGAAGAAAGAAAGGTTAATTTACAAAGCACATCCAGTCAGGTGCGAATATGGTGTTAAATCCAACTACGGTCTAGTCCCTTCGGAGCTTGGAATAGGCCATTATTGTGGCCATATGGTTGACTATGATGAGGTTGGTTATTTTTTGGTAAACATGAAATCGTATTTTGTTTCTTTTGCTAAGACATATATGATATAATTTTTCATTTGAACAGAGCACTAGAAAATGCAGGTGGGAATGTTATGATGGTCAGGCTAAGTTCTTGGATGAACTGAAGGGGAAGCAAGTAATTACATGAAAGAGGGGATATGGACCTAACTACGTCAACCTATTCGTTAAACATCACAAAGACAAGATGCGTGAGTTTGTTAGACAGCGCGGTATTTATAACCCGATCGATGTTGGGCTTAACAAATGGGGATTGGAGAGACGGATGACGTTAGAGGAGGAGAGGGCAAGGAAGGAGGCAAGGGAGGAGATAAGAGTACAGATGTAGGTCTTGAACGAGCATGTTGTTGCATTATGTGCCAATGAGTGCTTGAAAGCCTTTTTTTCGTTGCCTAATTTTAAATGTAATATAATCGCGTTGCTAACTGATTGCATTTTATACATGAAGGGATTGAATGCAGCGAGGAACATATTGCAGAGGTGGCTCATGCAAGGTATGAGAAAAAGAAGTTAGATGGGCACAGAACGCGAGCTGGTCGCACCGTTGAATCACCGATTGTGTTGTCTAATGAGGGAGACGAGGATGAGGACGACACTGGCAGACTGAGTGAGCTCATCGTTCTAGCATATGTGGGCTTGTAGGCAAAGGAGGCTGAGGACGACACTGGCAGACTGAGCGAGCTCATCGCTCTAGCACAGGCGGGCTTGTAGGCGGAGGAGGATGACGATGCGTTCTTCACTCAGGCCGCAAAGGCCACAGATGAAGCGGAGGCCGCTTACTACAGGCGGAGGAGGATGACATATATGGCAGATCCTTATAGTTGTACCCGTGAACCCTGTAGGCCATGATCATATGAGAGAAAGGGGCATGCATGATCTGAGGGACGTTGCAACTGCACTCTACCTTTTCAAGATCAACTCGGTAGTTTCGTCCACCATAACGTTCGCCGCCCAAGCTTGTGCCACCCTTGCTCCATACACTAAAGATATGGCGGCGGGGTCCATACGGCTTGGCGGTGTGCTGCTTGGTCAATTCCTCAGCCTCCTTCAAATGTTCTGCTCTAGCCTTTCCAAAATGCCCCTGCTCAGCTATATTTCTCTACGCAAGTTCCCACCTCTTGACAAAATATTCGTTGCACTTATGAAAGGAGAACTCAACAATTCCAGACACAGGCAACGATCAAACTCCGCTGAATACACGGTTGAAGGACTTCGAGGAGTTAGTGGTCATGATACCATACCTGAACCCCCCTCATCATATGCTAACACCCACTGAGCCTTCTGTTCCATCTACGCCTCTAACTAGGACTTTCCCGCTTCATTTACCATCTTGTCTAGTTCTCTCTTTGTTTCCTTGAACTGGTGCTCTGTACATACACAACACAGAGCCTTTACCTTATCACATACCTCCTGCTTCCTCTAACACCGCTAGAAATTAGCGGCAAAGTGTCTCATGCACCATCTATGCACTAGAGGCGGGAACCCATCGATATGCTTAGCTACAGCATTAAGAAGCCCTGGGTGACGGTCTGAGATCAAACATATAGTGCGAGATAGGCCAAGCACTTGTACACGTAGAAGCTGCATGAACCATGACCACGATTCATTGTTCTCTCCCTCTGCCAAAGCAAATGCCATAGGTACTATCTGGTTCTTAGGATCAATAGCAGCAGCCATCATTAAGGTGTCCCTGTACTTTCCTATCAGAAAAGTGCCATCAACAAGTACGACTGGCCGACAAAACTGAAATGCATGTTCCATTTATGCGAACGACCAGAACACACGATAGAGGACATGCCTCATCGAGTCCCAAAAACACATCCCTCCGGTGTCCACGGACCATTTCAAGTAAGGGTTGTAGTAATGCATTGCACATAAGATGCGGGGCACCCTGTTGTACGCTTCCTCCCAACTACCCATCGAATCACCATAGCAATTTGCTTAGCACGCCAAGCCTTTCTGTACTTCACATCGTACTTAACGAATCCATATATTGATTGTTGTAAAGAAGACATCGAAATGTTGTTATTGTCATCAACGAGCCCCAATATACGATGGGCAAGGTAACATGCAGTGAGCTGCTGATGATTTTCCTTCCCCCTATTTGTTAGGTAAGTGTGGGGTTCGACAACTTTACTTATTCTCCACTTGCCATCACCCTGTCTCTTTCGTGCATTTAACCTCCACATACAACCGTTTTTGCATATCACGTGGTACCTCAACTCCTGATCCGAATGAGTGACGGTGTACGACCTATGATGATACACAGCATAGTCTTGAAGGAATAGCTTCATCTATGATATTATATTGAATATCATCCCCTTTCTAAGGGTTTCTTTCTACAATGATTTTCTACACATCTGGAGATCGTTGTCATAAACTGCCATATCCGTCATGCTAACGTCCCTATAGTTCGGAACGCATCTGAAAGGTACGTTCATCGACCTTAGTTGCTCAAGCTCAGTCGTTGTGTAAGGTGGTGGTGGAACATACTGTTGCGCTTCGCTAATTCTGTCCCATGAATCATAGGGGGTATTATCTGCTGGCAAATCTATGACTAGTCTACCCTGAGCCTAGATACCATGCAAAACCTCAGTTGGTATTGGTAATGGCATAGTATGAACCGGTACTAGCATGGCATCAACCGGTGTTGACATAGCATCTGTACCTCCTTAGTCATCATCAGAATCGTCTGAATCACTGCTAACTACATCACCGATCTTGTCCTCCTGCTCCTGCTCCTGCTCCTCCTCTTCCCGTTCGAACTCGTTCACATCGAAGTCATTGCTTATACAGCCTACTGCAGCTGAATGAAACTGTTTCTGCGTCAACTGACCATCCAAATCTATGTTACCTTGAGTTGCTTCCCCTTCGACCTCTAATTCTTGCTCATTGCCCCCAACACCGTCAATGGACGGTCCGTCCTGGACACCCTGCATCCTGTAACCATTCTCCACCACCACCTCAGCCATGGGCACATTATAACCTTGGAGCACCCTAGTGTAGCGGGACCAATGAGCAGGGTCGCGCAAAAGCATGAGGACATAGTGTGCCCTAATCCTCTCAGTATCAAACCTCCCCTTCAGTGTGAAATCACCGTCAAACTTTGCAATCAAACGGATACAAAGGTCGTTGAAGCTAGGAGGTTCATCAAACCATTCCAATTCTTCTTTCATATCCTCAAACATATTATCTTCTCTCCTAACACTTTCTCCGTATAAAACTCTAACACAACAATCCATCTACAAAAGTATTTCAAGAAACTTCATCAATTCGTCGAAATCGTCGTACGTAATGTCTATAGTAATATCAATACCTATTCTAACTATAACTATACTAACTAATCTAATATTAACATCTATACAAGGCTAACTACAACAACTAATGTATAACTAGACTCACTAGGGGAGTACCTCATGCCGCGTGCCGTCTCGCTCATGCATGCAAATGCAAGGCGATGCAATGAGGGCGGTGGTCGAGGTGTCGCGGGTGGTGGTGGCCGGGAAGGGTGGCGCGGCCGACGCGACGCGCGCGCCAAGCAAGCGGCGCGGTCTTGGCGTTTTGCGTTTTTGCGCGTCTTGCGTGTTTGTTTTGTAGTGCGAGTGGCGCGGCGTAGGGCGCCAGCGCCAATGGCAGAGTCGGCGGTGGCCGCCACGCCAGCGCGTAGCGGTGGGCGCGGCGGCGGCACGCAAGTCGGTCGGGCGCGAATTCACCATGGGCGCGGCAGCGGCGGATCGGGCGCGCCTTTTAGCCGCTTTTGCTGCCGCCGCCGATCGTAGCGTCATCATGTCGTGCCAAGATCGGTGGCGCGGCAGGCCCTCGCCACGCCACCGCCACCGTCAAACCCCTGTTGTCGCCACGTCATCCTGCCACCGCGCCATCATGCATGGCACGACAGAGGCGTTTCACCGCGCCATGCAATAATAGGTGCGGCCAAAAGTATTAGTTTTGAAAGAAAAAATCAGGGTTAGATTTAAAATTAGTTTAAAAAAGTGTTAAAAATAGAAAAAAAAATTCTCCAGGTGCGGAGGGATGGGCGGCGGCGGCGGCGGCGGCGGCGGCGGCGGCAGCAGGAGGGAGGCGATAGAGCGGGAGCTGAAGAAGCTTCGGGCAGAGCGGGAGGACCTCGACGGCCGGATACGGCTGCTGGAATCGGAGCTCGAGGCGGTGCCTGCGGGAGTCAGCGGTGCGGCGGCGGGGAAAGGAGTAGGGGACGGTTCGTGCGGCGGAAGTGTCGCGTGCCAGAGCCGCGTGGGCAACGGGTTTGCGCCGGACGGTGGCCTCCCGGCGGATATGATCTACCGGTACAGCCGCCACCTCCTTCTCCCGGACTTCGGGGTTGAAGGTCAGTTGTTTCGTTTCAATCAGCACGGCTTGCTGTTTCCAAAGTCTCGAGCTTGCTTCCACCATTAGTATGGCTTCCATGTTGCTCCAAGAACTGCCCCCTTTCTCTTGGTTACTACTAGTATATAGTTGCTTGCCTCTTCGGCTTCCGATGTGTCATCACAATTGCAGCATATTGCTGGGGAAAAAAGGTGCAGTTTAGCAAGCTCGTGTTTCGGCTGATACTCTGATCCTTTGTCATCTATCTGGCAGGCCAGCGGAAGCTTTCACAATCGTCGATTTTAGTGGTTGGGGCTGGAGGTTTGGGCTCTCCCGTGGCGTTGTATCTAGCAGCTTGTGGCGTCGGTAATTTTTCTCTCTGCTGTGAAGTTGTGTTTAACTTTAGTTTCTCAAGGAACAAATTATATTTCTTTAGTGATAAGACAGATTTCTAGACGTGGTCCTTCTCCTTCTTGACAAAGTTTTTTTCTATATCTTATATAGTTATATGTGTAAAGTGAACATGATGGTGGGCTCCAATTCCGCAGTTTGTTGCATTCACTAATGTATCGTTGCTTACAGCCTGTTTGTTATCTTGTTAGGTTGCTTGGGCATTGTGGATGGTGATGATGTTGAACTGAATAACCTTCATCGACAGGTGAAATAATTTGGCATGTCTTCTGTCCCTCTTATCTAGCGTTCTCAATATTTTCTTTGGAATATATCTAAACACTGAATCATCTGCATGATGTATTCTTGTTGTTATTGGTAACTCAATTAGAAGGGATATATAAATATGCACGCATAAGCTAGCAAATTTGTAGTGAACTGAGAGAGTTCCACTTGATAAAACAGTTTTGAACATAACCCATGATCAAAATTGGTTATTTTAATCTGTGGCGGTCGTACATATCAATGATAACCTTGTTTTTTTGTTCTCAAACTCTCTTAGATAATTCATAAAGAAGCATATGTTGGACAACCAAAAGTGAAGTCAGCAGCTGATGCTTGCTGTGAGTAAGAAACTATCCTTTTGGAAGTTTTCTCTGCATTGGTTGCCAACCAAATGTACTATTTGATGCTACTATTTCACTATATCACATATGCTGTCTCAAATCAGGATTAATTCCTCTATCAAGGTAGTAGAGCACCATCATACTCTGAAGCCATGCAATGCTTTGGAGATTGTGCGGAAGTATCCTTACAATATCTGCTATGACAGATACAGTATTTTTTCTTCTCAAAGGCAGCACTCTTGTTTTCAGCATTAACTAAAACAACTACAGATATCATATAGTTGTTGATGCAACTGACAACCTTCCTACTAGGTATATGATCAGTGATTGTTGTGTTCTGCTGAACAAGGTAACTTTATCTTTGCTGTTGTAAGTGATGCACGCTATACTTGATATGGAATTCTTGCTCTTCCATGTTAACTTGTTGCCAAGTAAATTTCCCCATCAAATACGATATAGTGTAATAACTGTTTATTGATTGTAATCATCCATTGATCAATCACTTACATTTGATCTACTTCTTGCAGCCACTTGTATCTGGTGCGGCATTAGGTTTAGAAGGGCAGGCAAGCATCTTTCTTGCCAAAGATATTGCACCTTTTTCACTTCACCTTATATTTTTCATTCATTCATTGACTTCTCTAACAGTTGACTGTTTATCATCATAATGAAAGTCCATGCTATCGGTGCCTCTTTCCAAGTCCACCACCTGTTGCAGCCTGCCAGAGATGCTCAGACAGTGGTGTTCTTGGGGTTGGTAGGTGACACTATAGAAGCTCGTCATTACTAGCACAGTGGGCAAAATCTTACTTAGATTTTTTGTCAACCTGTTTAAAATTCATCAAACTTCTCTGTTTATATGATGTGGACTTCAGCCCAAATAGGAGATTTTAAATCATGAGTTCGTGGCTCCAATGTTGTGTAACTAATCTTTTTTCATGTCCATATTAATCCTTAATTATTCAGTGGCTTTTTCTTCAAGATTTTCTTAAATATGGTGGTATCTACTGTGCTTTTACAAGAAATCAGTGTAGACGGCTCACTTAAGTTAGCTATTTGTATAATTAGTTTTTAGAGTTTGCAGCTATCTATGATTAGTGCCCTGTTAGTTACTTTATTAGACATAGTTTCGCACTGGTGTACTAATTACTGTTTTGTTTACTAGTTCCGGGAGTGATTGGTTGCTTACAAGCTCTGGAGGCTATAAAGGTTGCAACTGGTGTTGGTGAACCCCTATGCGGAAGAATGCTACTATTTGACGCACTCTCTGCTCGTATTAGAATTGTATGTGACTTCGCTCTGTAAATTTATTGTATCTTTGAATGCATGGTCACAATGCATCCTAATCCCGGCACCATCGGGGGATGGCAATGTTGCATCCTCCTATCTAGTTTTAACTTGCACCTTCTTTCTAGTATATTTATCGCAGATTCGAGTCTGGTACATAAATTACAATAGTGGGATAGGATCATGTTGCCAATCATGTTTTAGTATAAAAGAATTGAAATTGGTTCTCACAAGAATGTAATCCTTTATAGGACCACTCTCAGCATTAGTGAGAAACTTTGACTCTCTTTTCTTATGGGAACAACCTTTACATTCTATTCTGTTGTATCCTTATATGTGATGGTCACATCTTGATTGTGCCTCATAAAGTTTAGTTTTGTGCTTTTGAACCAATATATAATACCTTCGAGCTATTTAGATTCTGGGAACATAGCTTTTTCTAGCAGGGTTTAAGTGTCCCCTGTTTTAATGTTTCCCAGACCTTCGCATAAAGCTGGTAATGAACCTATTCCCAGCACCAGTAGATAGTGTTACAAGCCTTCTAACTTCAAAGGAATCTAATGTGAAGTAGCCACCAAAGCATCCGCATGATCTTGCCTGGTTTCTTCTCCCAGCACTTACTGTGATTTTCAGTCGCCAATGGCATTTGAAACCCTGTTTGAGGATTCGTCCTATTTGCAGGTGGTCTGCCATTAAGTGGATTATGGTCATCACTGTAGGTCATCCTGCAAATTATTAACATCCTCTGATCCTTCGAAGTTATTTGCATTGCTTGGACGCATAGCTATAGGACTGGCCAAAGGGCGCCTAGCTCAAATGGTTAGGTGACCCAGCGGTACTCCTCAGGTCCTGGGTTCGACTCCCGTGGGAGCGAATTTCAGGCTGAGGTTAAAAAAGTCCCCTCGTCCGTCCCCATAACCAAAGCACTGGGGGGGGCACCGGCCCAATTCTCACTTGGGCGACGGAAAGCCACCATGTAAGGGTGGGGGCAGGGGTTCGGGGGTTTTCTCGGCTGGATGAGAAGGTCCTTCTTCTTATTTGTAATGCTGCGGGGGCAGTCTTAACCCCCCGGGTCGAGTTTTTTTTTAGCCATAGGACTGTCTTAATATAGCACATTATCAAGTATATGCATATTTGCAGGTTAAGCTTCGTCGAAGCTCTCCAGGTTGCACCCATTGTGGTAAAAATTCCTTTTTCACAGAACAAGATTTTCAGAAGTTTGACTATGAGAACTTCACTCAGTCACCAATGTCTGATAAGGTAATGTGAATGGATGCAGTTCAGATCATATCAAGAATGATCTTGAAATCTTTGTCTTCATCGACTGTTACATTTACTGCAGGCAGCACCAAGTGTGAACCTACTCCCAGAGAGCGCCCGAATCACTTGCAGAGATTACAAAAAACTGGTTGACAATAGTGAACCTCATCTATTATTGGACGTACGACCCGCACATCACTTCCAAATAGCTTCGATTTCTCCTTCTCTGAACATCCCGCTCTCCATGTTGGAAGAGAAGCTACCTACACTTGAAACCTCACTGAAGGAAACAGGAGAGGCATCAACCTTGGTTGTCCTGTGTAGAAGAGGCAATGACTCTCAGAGAGCCGTCAAGCTTCTCCACGAGAAGGGATTTGCTTCTGCGAAGGATATCATCGGTGGGCTGCAGGCGTGGGGACGAGATGTTAATCCTGATTTCCCTGTGTACTAGCAAAATGGATGTAACAATTATATGCCTCCTTTTCAGTCAAAAAACAATTATATGCCTCCTATGAGGATTCACGATTAAGGTCAAACATTTACATAGGACAGAGCTTGTGGGAGTGAGTTTAAGATTGTTTCCCACGCGGTTAGCTATTGTTCTCGGCTTAAGAATGATCTACTTGTTTGAGTTCCTACCTTGTACCTTGTAACAGTTTGAATGCCGCCAGAGTTGCTGTTGTTGCAAGAATGAGAACTCTGATACTATTATTTGAGTACTAATTTTACAATACCGTGTACTTGCAACACACAAAAAAAACAACATTATGGAAGACTTGTATGTTAAATCCGTGATGGCTCATGCCATGTACAAAATAAGATTTAAGCTACAAAATTACTTTAAAGGCAGCAGATCAAAAATAAGATTTGATGATGGGAATTTTTTTTATCAATCAAACCGCAAAAAAAATGTTCAGTAACGTGAAGCCATGCACATTTTTTTTTAAAACACCAGCCCATTGAGATTTCTGCCGCGTATTGATTTCTTTACAAAATTTGAAGTAACTATATTCTACCAAAGAACACAAGTTGGGCATTCAAGTTACAAGGAAGTCTGTTGGGACTTGGGGCTCAAGCGCACTGGATGGTGTGAAATTGGACAACAGATGTGTGTGAGATTGCCGCAGACTTCAAAGGCAGCAGTATGGCCTAGATATTCTGATCGTGCTACTGCCACCCTCTGGATTCACATTTCTCCTATGGCACTAATTGCCTAGGATTTGCTGGTTGCATTCCAGAATTTCAATTCCAGACAAACCATGCCTTAGTGTTAAAAAACAAAGCAGTATGCCATCTCTGTTACTGTGGGTTTTTCAGGTCCAGCACATCACTTCTCTCTGGCTATCACTTCTCCTCTGGCTTTGGTTGATCATCCATTCCTTCCTCGCATTCCTTAAGAAGCCTTTCTACAGAAGGATCATAAGCAATAGCCACCCGCAGATATTTGGTAGCCTAAGAATTCCAGCCTTCTCTAGATAATATACTGAAATAACCAGTGCCAGCACTTTTAGCAACTGTACAGCATTTTAGGCAAGCAGAGCCACATAAATAAAATCAACAATGGAGTTGAACCACAATATGTGGCTACACCGCTACATGCTGGGCCAAGCTACCCTCTAGAATGTAAGGTTATTGGTAGGGATGGTAGCCATAGCAAATCGTATCGATGGACCATTTGTAACAGAATGATCTACAAAAGGACTTTACCTTGCCAAAATAAGCATCCTGTTGATGGGCTTTTCCGGTTCCTTGAGCTCTGCTATTCTCTGCAGGAGTTTGATTGCCATCTCATTCTCATTATCCCCCTACATTGGAAACCGAAGCTATGCTTATGTTGTTCACTGTTATTCCAAATGTTTTTATAAACTGAGTCCAAATGTAGCATTACTCTACCTGACGCTCGTTTGAAAGACCTGCCCCGAAATATGCAAGCACAAGAAGAGGATCATCTTCTTGAATCTACACAATCGAGAGCATTGAATCATAATTACTGTCTCGGATGATGAAAATTATCTAAGGTAACAACAGACCTTTGGTATAGCATGTTCAAAACAAACTGCAGCTTCAGGAAACAATCTATTTGAGAACATGGTTTGTCCCATTCCAATCAACGCCGTAGACAGATCTGGGTTTCTCTCTACTGCTGTCCTGTGTGCAATATTGATCACCAACTCCCATTGTTTGCAAATGGAAATGGTAGCCAACAATTGATCAGACAAAGCACAACACCGACTTACCTGATCAGTGGAAGAGCTTGATCTCTGCAGCCAGTCCCCAGATACTGTAATGCTTGCTAATGATAAACATATATAGGAATATGCATCAGAATTCATACAGGAACAATATTCCAAGACAAAAAAATGTGTAAACATTCATACTTCAAGTAGCTCCTCAGGTGAGCTGCACACAGATATATTTCCTTCCATACTTTCCATTGCAAAATTAGGAGTTGTACTCTCACTGGCAGTTCCCTTGTCAGATGACATCGATTTCGTTTGCAGGTCAGCATCTTCAAGCTGTGACCTCCGTAAATTCATGATAACTTCAGCATCATGATTCAATTGCACATAATGAAAATAACTAGAGCGCATAAAGTAGATGGGCATGCCTGCATCATCTCAGGTACCTCAAGAGGTGATTTTTGCGCTCTGTAACCAACCTGAGCTCTAGTATCTGGCAATCCCAACAGCTTGCAGGCAGCATCATTTCTCAAGGACAATTACTGCGATTTAATCATTTGAAAAATAGAATGTAGCATGAAGTACACAATGCTGACTTCACCGCATCAAGCTTGTTAAAATTAAAATGCATGGAACCTGATCTGCTCAAAGGATAGAAATAGGAAATTACAAGCAAAAAGGGAATTCATAAGCGTTTTTTTCCTGTTGGAGTTTACATATCTATCTGTTCTAAGCAACCTCTTCGGAGTCCTTCACAGCCGTTGCATTATCATACCATCTGCTGTGGGCTATTTGGTGTCTTCTTCAAGGTGTTCTTAGGATCATATATTAGCGTCATTAAGAAAATTTGCGTTGCACCATACGAGCTAGGCTGTGCGCTGCTTTTTCATCTGGAGAGACAGGTCCAAAGTCCCGTATAGACAACCAAACGCACTAAAATTGCATCTCCAGAGTCTGGTTCTACTATATGCAGGCAACTAAACATGCTATAGAACATTGTGGATGTCAGTCGAATCAAATGAATTGGCTGAGCTTATGTGAGCCTAATGTTTTCCTGTGGTAGCCTCAGCGTTGGTATCCTTTCGACATTGCCGATACAAGCACGACTTTGCAAGGATCATGTGTCCTATGTATGATCATGTGTAGTTTTGGCGATTTACATGACACCACAAAGCACTAAGACTAACATGTGTGTGTTAAAATGTGTCAGACAAACATGTGTGTTAAAATGTGTTAGATGGCTTTAAGAGGAATATTAATGTTGAATCAACAATTTTGGCAATAAATGTTGAATCAACAAATTCAAAGAAAAAAAATGTTTTAGTTAACAAAAAAAAAAGGATAAGGGAAGGAACTTAAAGCAAGATTTGGGAAGTATATACTAGCCTACTAAAAAAGAGATGGAAGGAAACTAACCAAAATTACAAACGGACGACTATGTACTAAACATATACTGGTCTAGTGGACTACTATCCAAATCATTTTTACAACCGAGTTGTTAGGTCAATCTGAAAAGATGAAGGCTTCGATGGCCTCCACGTGAAACTCAGCCGACATAGTAACACAAAATCTAGATGCTGGATACATGTAGTATATCTCCCGTTTTTTCAAACTTTGATAAACAATACAACAAAGTTTTACTGTTAATCATTAAGAAATTACAAAAGCTGGTCACCCACGAGGGTTATATTCTCCTGCTGAGCAATTAGAGCAGTAGCAATATCCAACATCTTGTAAGGACTTCAGTTCTGAATTGGCTGCTGCGGCTGCTGCGGAGCTGGAGGGCCATGAGGCGGCTGCTGAGCTGGAGGGCCATGAGGCGGCAGCTGTCCTGCGCCTGCTTGCGGTGGTTGCTGAGATGAACTAGCCTGAGCCTGTGCTGGTTGTGCTAGCATCGGCTGGTAAGGTGGATATTGTGGTGGGTAGGGCATGCGCAGTGGAGGCATGTAGCCACCATATGGTGGTGGAGGTGGATAGTATGGTGGATACTGACCATGGTAGTATGGCGGTGGTGCAGGATAGCCACCCTGTGCTGAGCTGCTTGATGGCTGAGCTTGCCCGGCTTGCTGCAGCCCTGGTTTGCCTTCACCGTCCTGTGATTTTACTATAGCACCCATCCTCTGTGGATCCATGGATGGGTACAGAGTCCGCTCCGCTGCTGGTGGTGCTGGAATGTTGAAGTAGTACGATGCTTGTGCAGCCTGCTGCTGTTGGCCCTCCATCCCAGGGGGTTGAGGTTGGTCACCGCTCTGCTGCTGAGATATGACAGCCCTTGGGAGCAGTCCTCCATGGGAAACCTGTCCCTGCCTCCCAGACTCATCCTCCTCAGGTTTTGGAGCCTGAGGCTTGCCCCACATCAGCTTCAGGCGCACACCCTTGATGACTAGCTTGTTAGCAAGCTCCTCTGCAGCCTTCTCTGCGCCTTCTCTTGTAGTATATGTCACAAATGCGATTGCACGTTGAAGTACCATCCTTATGGACTCAATCTCACCATGGGCATAAAATTGATCCCTCAAATCCTGCTCAGTTATTCTGCTATCGAGTCCACCAATGTAGAGGGTCCTTATAGTCTCATCATCTGGCGGTGTCAGGGATGGCATCTCACCTGCCTTGCTCAAAAGTTTCAGTGCAACTGGGTCATTAACTCTGCAAGGAGCAAGAGATAGTCAGAAACCAAGGCAGAGGAGAGAATAGACATGGAAAATTTAGTAAAGTGAACAGATACATTCACCTAAAGGTTTTTAATAATGAATAATTTAGTTGAACTCATTAACTTGACCTAAAAAACATCAATGTTTGGAATATCTAGGGCGCAATTTCGGCTGGGATAAAGGTTTCCAAGATACAGCTACAAGTTCAACACTTCAACCAAGTTAGGATAGTTTCATGACCAAACAGCATCTGGAGACATCTTTTGTCTGTACATCTGTACATGTAAGCCTTTTATCTAAAAAACTTCCGTACATGTAAGCAATACAATTTTTACCCAGGTGCGGGTTAACTGTACAGATGCTAATATCAATTGCCAGTAACTAGAAAGACTTAATTTTGGTCTTACCACCTTAAAATCAACAACAACAGCATACCCTTTTAGTCCCAAGCCAGTCGATTTTTTTTTTTTTTTGATAAGAAACAAAATAGAAGGTAATATGGATCTTCAAATACGTCGTCTAAAATCCAAGTCATAAAGGAAAAGCATTGCTTAATAGGCTTTTGCTATATGCTCCAGAAAGAACTAGATGGACTACATGAACACAGGAATGGCAACATAGTGTTCTACTGATGCAACGCAAAAGAGTTGAATGAAAAGTATCAAATCCTTCAGACTGTTAGTCGCTGAATTCTTAATCTTGGTAGTAGCAGAATTCTTACTCTCATCGAGAGAGGATGACACTAGGAGTTGGGGCAATTTTCTGATTTATTTCTCACACAAATGCCATGCCAACCTGAGGGGTTGGAGATACATATTTATAGGCTGCTAGCCAGCCAAGCATATGCCAAGATGCTAGATGCTAACATGCTGTCCTAAAACATATGTTGCCCTAGATGCTAAGATGTGATGGGATAAGTCTCTGTTGGCAGTCTTTGTGGGGCTGGTTGCAGCAACATCTTGACTGAGAGGACAGCATCCTTGCAGCTAGTCTTTGTGGGGCTGGCTGCAGCAGCATCTTAGCTAGGACAACATCTTAGAGAACAGCATATTAACATCTTAGACTAGCATCTTAGCATATGCTTGGCTGGCTAGCAGCCTATAAATATGTATCCCTAACCCCTCAGGTTGGCTTGGCATTGAGAAATAAACCAGAAAATTATCCCAACTCCTAGTGTCATTCTCTCTCGATGAGAGTAAGAATTCTGCTACTACCAAGAGTGAGAATTCAACGACTAACAACTGATATCCGTATTATCCTGTAGCCTGAGCATCTCCTGCTCATCTTCTTTTCCAGCCTCGCAACAGCCCCAGCTAGGAGCAGCAGCAGCTCCGGCCGCTCCTGCTCACTAATCTCCCTGCGCTGTCAAGCGCCCCTCTCCCACGCAGTAGCCCCCCCTAGCGCGTCATGTCCGCAGAGGCGCGTCGGCCTTCGGCCGCCTCAAGCACGCTTGGCGTCGGCAGAGGCCGAACTTGCAGCGGCAGAGGAACGCGAGCGAAGCGGCAGCAGAGATCACCGCGCGGCGGCGCAGGGCGCCGAGCTCGGCAACTGGCAAGGAGCGGCAGCAGCGAGCGGCGGCGGAAGCGAGCCGTCTGGCAGAGCGGCGAGGTCGAGGCCTCGACGCAGCGCGATCGCCAGCTGTTTACGACGACAACGCAGTCTGACGCCGGACCTCGAGCTGCCGGGGAGGGAGGCAGACGAAGCGCGGCGGCGAAGGCAGCGCAGACGCACACGAAACGCCGTGGCAGCCCGCGACGCGCTCAGCAGACGCGCGCGGCGGCGGCGCCTGGAGGAGGCGCGCGCCGCAGCGGTGGCGCTCTGGAGAGGCGCGCGCCGGCGGCGATGGCGGACGGGTCGATGAGAGCGCGGCCTTCACAGTGCGCGGCGTGGCTCTCCCGGATCGATCGCAACCGTGGTTACCACGGGCTCGAGTTGTCGTAGGGGCGTCGGCCCGGCGGTGGGTGGCCTACCCTCACTCACCAAGACCAACTACGCCGAGTGGGCTGCGCGTGATGAGGGTAAAAAGCTCGGTCGCGGCACATGTGGGAAGCGGTCCGCAAGCGGCGCGACCTAGATCGACGACGGCGCTAGATGCTCTCTCATCATCGCCGTCCCCTTGCCCGAGATGCGATTCTCGCTTACCAACAAGCGGATTTGTCAAGGAGGCTTGAGACGCCATCGCTGCGGCACGCATCGATCGACCGCGCCGCCGCAAGTCCACATCGCAGAGCGCCGCGCGGGGAGTGGGAGAACCTAGCCTTCAAGCCGTGAGGGCGTTGATGACTTTGCTCTCCGTCTCAACACTCTATTGCGTAAGATGGTGCGCTTCAACGATGACACCTACGGCGAGGAGAGAGCTATCGAAAAGCTCTTCCGCTGCGTCCCGAGAAGTACAAGCGATGGCTCGCCGACGGCTCTCTCTCTCGCCGTAGGTGTCATCGCCGAATCGCACTATCTTCGCAATGCGAGTGTTGAGACGGAGAGCAAAGTCATCAACATCCTCACCGCTTGAAGGCTGTGTTCTCCCACTCTCGCGGCGGCGCTCGCAGCAGTGGACTTGCGCGCGGCTTGCCGCCGCCGCGCGCGCGCAGCAGATGGCGCGCGCCCCAAGCCTCCTTGGCGCCCGCTTGTTGGTAAGCGAGAATCGCATCTCGACGGGATCGCAACGATGAGGGCATCCAGCCGCCGTCGATCCTAGTCGTAGTCGACGCCGCCGCACTGCATCGCCTCCCACATGTGCCGCACTGGAGCTTTACCTCATCACCGCAGCCCACC